TCCATAAAACTTCCTTTAAAAACAAACCTTGAAATATAGCGTTATCATTCAGAATTTTTTTTCTTAGAACCTCAGTCTTTCCGGTGTCACTACATGCCTATCAAACTAGAGCAGGCATTTAAACTGTCTTCTGGAATGACTTTGATTGACATATCTTGACCTTTGTAACCAAAGGTTATCTCTTGTCCTTGGCTGTCAAATTAGAACTACTGAGTTATGTAGGCCATGTTTTCCCTCAGAATGATGAATGAAATCTTTGTTTCTAGACAATAATGCAGTAACAAACTACACAACCTTCTCCAGACTTGTAAGACTATTTCTTTCATTTCTACGTATGGCCTTGAAATTATATTTTATCATGAACAGGCCCTAGGCAAGAATCAAAACAGCTTTAAATAAAAACTTCCTTGCAAACATGCATTCTAGTTTAGTTGAGGAGCTTCCTGTCTTCAAAACATCACCAAAATTGATTCTGAGAAGGAATTCTGTACTTGTTAGGAATTTCCGCTTCATGTTTGTAAATTTCATACACTCAAACTGTCAACACAGAAGTGGGACTTTGTTTTTTGTGCCACGAGCTTAGGCTTCAAACTGCAAAATAATGTTCTTGTATTGGGATAGTGTAGACACATAGAAGATTGCATGGTTCAGTTTAGAACATGTTTTCACATCATGATTCTATTAAAATGCTAGTGCATTATTATGGGTACACATGAAGAGGCATTACCTTGTGATGTGACTGTTACAAATGAAATGCAGCAGAACAGCAGAAATTTAAATGCACTGGGTTACAATCTTACTGGCACTCACCACTGAGGAAGGGTGGATGAACACAGTGGAGGCGTGGCCATCCATGGTTCGGAAGCTGCGGCCAGTAGCAGATCTGAGAGAAAAAAAAAGAATGCTAAAGTTCTAACAGACTTACTTTGAAGTATCAATGATTTCTACTGTATTTCAATATTTTCTTTCTAATTAACTATCAATGCTGGATATTTCATCCATTACCCTGAAACCAAGATTTTATCATATGATAGAGCTTCCTTGCTGAAAACTATGCCTCTTGAAAGTTTTGCAATCGAAAGCTATATTCTGAACATCTAAGGTTTAGGGCATGGCCTACCTCCTGGCTATGTGGTTGAAGAAGCCGTCACACAGGGCTCTTCTCAGCAGCTCACTGGGAGAACCTTCCAGCTTCTGTCTGGGGAAGTCTGCTGTCTGGACATATATATGTACAGGGACATACATGGAGGGGAATAAAGATACCGGTAAGGATATCAACTCCAGTACACTTTGGCATTATTGACTCAGAATGGTAATAACAAGATATACTCTTACTACTGGTATATTCGTGTGTACATTGTATTAGACCCTGCTTATATCCATTTTGGAACAGCAAGTAATACCAGTGGGGTTGAAAACTTTTGCTTGGGTGAAAAACAAAGTGTTCAAGTGGGGAGGAACAAGGCTGAATGATGGAAACAACTGGCACAAAAAATCCAAATATTCGTGTAAGGGGTTGAAAATGACACATTTATGTATAATGTAATAGGCCATCGTCTTTGTAGTTTTTGTGACCAGTATGATAATCTGGTTATGCTAATTCGAGGCTTTGATGATAGGAACATCAAGGACATGTCGTATGGGTGCGAAATATTGTGTTGTTCCCCTTGCTAGACGACTGTCTGCATTGCAATATGTGTCCTGTCTGTGGTTTGACAATAAAAGCTGGGTGTTCGGTGGGTTGGGAGCTCAGTCAGAAGACAGTCTGAGACAGAGACAGCTTGAGAGAAGGTTACAGAGAAGACTGTCCCAGCCCATCGTCTCCCGTGCGTGCGTGACGGCAATGCCTGTGTCCTGTGTGTGTTCTTGCTAGCCCTGTAGTTAGTCTCCCGTGCAGCATCCTCAAAGAACCCGGTGAATTCCACCTCGGTTACATTTGGCGTTGTCGGCAGGATGCTGTTTAAACCAACATCTAGGGGGACGCTGCAGGGCAGAGCCACGCCAGGACCAGGAGGGCCAGAGCCGCGCACGGGAGGGCAGGACCGACACCAGGGAGAAGCGGACCTCGGCAGGCGGACTGTGAGACCAGGACGCTGTGAGATCGGAGCTGGAGAGCCGCATCGGAGAGGCGGGACGGACGTGCGGAGTGCGAGGGCTGCAGGGCCGGGAGAGTCAAGACCACGAGGCGTCAGGGCCGTGACCTGGAGAAGACCCGGGCGGCCAGCCGGACTGCAGAACCAGGAGTCGGCCGAGAGAGTGTGTGATGCGGTGGGTGTAAGCATTTCATGCGCACAATGTCAGACCGTCCGAAGTTTAGTTTTGTTGGCTCCGAGTTAGTTGAGGTTTATGTTAGGTTTGATGTCAGGATTCTAATTATGTCGGTTTTAGGTAGGAAGAAATTATGGTATGGGTACATATTTATCTCCGGGGAAACCCAGACTTCGGGGGTTGGACTTCTCGGTCCTTCAGGAGATTGTGTCGGCCCGGGATTGGAAGTCTTGTCGTGTTTTTATGCAGATATTTAAGTAACATTATTCGATAGTTGGTTTAGAAGTGGTTTATCTTTATCTTTTTCTGGACTTCTGAAGTTTTGTATCCAAAGTTTGAACAGGGGTGCCCTGTCAGGAGTTGTTAGTATGTCCAGGATTTTGAATATCTAAAAGGTTGGCAGTTTGGCCGGTTGAATATTTATTAGTTAGCATTGTGTCCAAATTTGTTGTCTTTGTTTGTTTGTTGTATTCGGCTGTTGTCTTTGAAAACAAATGTTTATCACCTGGAGAGCACTGATTTGTATAAGAGGATTGAAATGTTTCCATTGAATCAAGTAGAATATGCCATGAGGAGCTCTATTCAGACTGCTGTGGTTTGAGCTGGGATAGGTCAGGATCCACGTGCTCCTAGGGTAGGATGTGTATTGAGCGAGCCTCGGTCGGCCTAGTTTGCAGAGATTTGTAAGGAAAGCATTATAGCCTTTTGTTTCTATGAGAGTTTATTTGTCACTGTTTAGTTTAGTTACTGAGTTTTAATAGACAGATGTGGACGGTCGGTTGTTTGTGCGTGTGTGTGTTGACTCTTTTCCATGGCTGATCCCTGCACCCCACACGACAAGGACGTGGGCCGAACCAGTCAGATTCCTAATCGGATCCCTGAACCAGCAGACCGACACGCCGAGGAACTTCTCCAGGAAGACGGTGATCGGGGCTGACCAGCAGGAGATGTGGGGAGGGCGTCCGTGGCGGTGCAACCAAGGGAAGGTGAAGGGACAACGCAACACGGGGACCTGTGATGTGAAGTTCGTGATGTGTTGAGGATGTCCGCAGTGGAGGACCTGCGAGCGGTGCTGAGGCCGTGTGACGTGAGACGACGCCCTGGTCCAGGAAGGAAGGGGTCGTGATGTAGTTCGTGATGTGTAGCTAATGATGTGTTGTTATATATATAAAACCGATCTACAGACTTTTGAAAAACTCATGTACTTTTAAACTTGACAAATTTGATCTATTCTATGAAACAATATCCTCCATGCCTATGTGAGGAATTGCAATTGTGTAGCATGTGTATTGCTTGTATCCTGTTTTATTATGTATTTCTATGTATTTTTGCTATATTTATATTTGTTGTTTTATAAAAACAAAACGCTGTGCGCTCGCCGGGACGGCTCGCATTTAAATAGGGGTGGGTGTAAGGGGTTGAAAATGACACATTTATGTATAATGTAATAGGCCATCGTCTTTGTAGTTTTTGTGACCAGTATGATAATCTGGTTATGCTAATTCGAGGCTTTGATGATAGGAACATCAAGGACATGTCGTATGGGTGCGAAATATTGTGTTGTTCCCCTTGCTAGACGACTGTCTGCATTGCAATATGTGTCCTGTCTGTGGTTTGACAATAAAAGCTGGGTGTTCGGTGGGTTGGGAGCTCAGTCAGAAGACAGTCTGAGACAGAGACAGCTTGAGAGAAGGTTACAGAGAAGACTGTCCCAGCCCATCGTCTCCCGTGCGTGTGTGACGGCAATGCCTGTGTCCCGCGTGTGTTCTTGCTGGCCCTGTAGTTAGTCTCCCGTGCAGCATCCTAAAAGAACCTGGTGAATTCCACCTCGGTTACATTCGCACAGCCCACAATCCTTTGTGGACTATCTTTTACAGTCTTAACTTTCTCTGACAGTACATTTCACAGGGAGGACCAGTCTTAGCCTAACCTGAGTTTGCTTGTCTAGGATCCCCTGTAGCTGCTGATGTATGCTCA